CAATAGACTAACGAAGGCGTCCAGCGGAAAGAAAGTTCTTTGTATATTGGATGAAACTGTTGCGAATATGATCTTAAACAGAAAATAACAGTTCATTATAAAGTATGATCAATACACCATCAAATTAAATAGAAGAAGTGAGAAAATGGAAGACCTATATATACAAGGAAGTTCTCGGTTGACGAAGACTACGAGACATGTGTACGTTTTATCTCAATAAAATCGATTTTATTTATTTGACTTTTTATGATGCAAGAAACTTCTGAAAATTGAGAAATACATTCTACAATGAAAAATCTCAATTTTATCTAACACGTTTTGAGGAAGAAAATAAAATTGTTTTAGTAGAGCAATGACTTCTTCTTTTAAAATTGGTACACCGACATATTTGTCTTGTTGATTATATTGATTGACTTGATTTACTATTGAAATTATTTTGAGACGATAAAGGTTTTTATTTGTTTTTCTTAATTAAAATTTAAAATAAAATTATTTTTTTCTTTGTTTTATGTTTAGTAACAATAAAGATAAAAAGACTTTTGAAAAAAAATTTAATTGAACTAAATATGTTTCAAGCTAATGGAAGTAATCGACATCAAATTAATTATCAAAGAATTGCAACTCGATTGTACTTATTCGTTCTGGTCATTTCGCTTATTATAATTAATTTTTATTTATTATTAAATGAAGATCTTCAACAAAACACAATTCATCAACCATCGGAATTTCAATATAAAGAACTTGAAAAAACTTATTCTTCAAATCTTTATTATCCATGTTCAACAGTCTCAATGAATTATTCAACTGTTATTATGATTGAACCTTACTTTCATCAAATATGTTCAAGTGACTTAATATCAGATGCATGGATTAATTTTATCAATGGTGATCACGTGATGAACGATATTTTTTACAATATTTGACTACAGAAATTCTAGTGTATTTCACTTTCAGTTATTGTCATTGTTATGTCAACATTCTCAACAAACAGTTAATATTAGTATGAAAACATTTCTTCAAACATAATTTCTTTCTTCACAAGTTATTTCTCAAAATCGATTTGAAACTACAGTTAATTCATCTATTAATGATTGAAAATCTCAAACTATCGATCAATTTTTAGAAACAATCAAAATATTTCAAGCTGTATCACATGGAAATCAACTTATAGGTCAGCAATTTAAGTATTATATTCTTTATAGAGACTCGAATGATACAAAAATGAATCTTGAAGATCAAGAATATTTCGATTGTTCATGCACTTTATCTTCATCATGCATTTTCTCTCTCAATCTGTTCGGAGACGATGCATCTTCGGAAATTCTCACGACAGTTTTTATAGTCCCAAATTTTTTTCTGGATTGTTCCCAAATCGAAGGATTAATGAAATCAACTTTAGAATGTTTTTATAATCTACCATGTATGATTGAATTAGATCGACATTTTGATTTATCTCTTGGATCATCTTTTAATTTTTCAAATTTAAATGAAAATCTTAATCCACCGAATGAAACAATTGAAACAATTATCAATAAACTTATGGTTGATTCTTGGACATCGAATATTTCATTTTCTTCATATTATAATACATGTTCTCCATCATCATGTACGTATGAATACATTAGTCAAAATGCTTTGTTCTTTATTATAACAATAATTCTTGGCATTTGTGGTGGTTTATCTCTTGGATTAAAACTACTTACTTTAATTATTCTTCGATTTATTAAGAAGACAATTAATAATAATTCTTTTAATGGATTTATAACAATGATAAAAAAACTTATTTATTTGTAGTACTGAACAATGTATTATTAATCGACTTCATTTGATTTTTCTTTTACTAAAATTATACTTAATATTTCTATTTTCTGCTTTTAAATCAAAATTAGCTACTGTTCAAATAATAAAACTATCACTTTCAAAATATAAAGATTTAT